TCAGCGACGGATCAGCGAGGGAATTTTCCCTCGCTGATACCCAGCATTTTTGTAGTGGTTTTACACCCAAGCTATTGGAATTAGCTACTCATTACATAAATTAAATGACAAGAAATATAAAGAATAGAAAAGTAAAAACATAAATATAAATGACGGAAAGTAAATGACTGGATATAAAGAGCGGAAATTAAATGACAAGAAAAGTAAATAAAGTAAAAACAATGTTTCAGCAACTCATAATAAAGAACATTATTTAACGAAAATTAAAAACTAACTTGCATAAACATAAGAAGTTCATATCTGATTCTTAAAAGTCTGTGGGATGGTTAAATGAAAGCAACTAAGGTCCCTATTTATACAAAAGAGTCGAGGAAGAAGACAAAAACCTTGGAAAAGTCATGGTTCCCAAAAGAGAGACAAAAGGTGGAAAGAGAAAAAAAGGTAGCATCACATAAAAAATAAAAGTAACATCCAAAAACCTTCGGCCCAGCTGTATAAGTCTTTATCCACTGAAATAACAAAATCTTGTCTTCATTCTAAATTGGCAGTTGAATCATTAAGCACTTCCCAAAAGGCCGTTTAATAACAGTTCAATGTTGTTGGAATGCTGCAGCATAGAATATGTGCTTTCAAATTAAGATCACGTCTACTCAAATGGTACAAAGATAAGTTAATCACTCAATTTAACTCCAAGTATAAACAAATGGAAAATAAAGTAATAAAAAGAACATTAAGGTTGGGATAAAAAAAAATAAACTACCTAATAAACAAAGAAATGAATGTTTTATGCATAGAATATAATACATATCACACCTAACCAACATTCACGTATGTATTTGAATGTCAACTTACCCTAAAATATATATGCAATTAATATTTTATGAAAATATTATAAAATCAATATTAATAAAGTTTTATTTTAATCATATATAATCAAAAAAGCTAAAAGGATAAAGTAATGTTTATAACCTAATTTATGTGGGACTTTTAAATGACTGATAGGTTCTATAAAAACATTTATAACCGTATTTATGTTCCATCTGATAGATAATAAGTTATAAGTCATGATCATGGGTATCTACATGAGTTCATGAAACCGGTATACTTATGATTTGGTTGTTTAATTTGCCCAAAATGTCAGGACCTAATCACTTATAGGTCGAGTTTTCTATCAGTTCACGTGCCCTTTTTCTATTTTATGCAAAAAAAAGATGTGTCTTAATGTTAAAGCCAAGACTTGCTTATCGGTAAACAAAAAGTAAATAAAGAAAATAGAAAAAAATACGTTTATAGAATTAAAGATTGATTATACTGTTTCCTAATCTTGGGTCGTCAACTTTTAACATGTACGGCTATAATTTCTTACTTACAAGCATCTCGAATAAGGATATATCTGGATTATCCCACATAAAAGGTATCACATATATGATCCTAATGTTGTATAGTTTTGTTATCATCTATATTATTTAGGATCAGGTCTTACCTTACTGACTTCTGCAACAAATCTGTATTGAAAAATGAAAATTTGTTGTATTTGTATTCAAATCCAGCTCCCTTCTATAAACACTTTTTGTGTTAGTCATTATCATTCTAAAACCAACACTACAATGTGTTATTACAAATTTTCAGTATAAAGTTGGATAACATAAGAATTCGAGAACCTAACATTAATTTTTATTCCCACAACTTTTATGAAAAATACTGAATCCAACATAATAAAGGTGAAAAAAGGTATTCATCAACAAATTTTTCACATAAAAACATTTTTTAAAATCTTAATTATTAATCTAAAACCTTTATAAAACGGTTGATCTCGTAGATCAGCCGTTTCATCATTTTAAGACCAAAAAATGTTTTACGTCAAGAATTTTTCACAATGAAATCGATGGACATAGTTTATAACATAACGCTACATTTTTTATCAACTCTATAATTGTTATAAACTTAGAAATCATTTTTATCAGTTATTTTGTATATAAAACAATACGTGTTAAAATACAATGTTGTTTCATATGTGAAATGTTCATGACTATTTTTTCTGCAAACAGAACATTTATAAACGTTTCATATATATAAACATTCCATTATTTCATATGTGAAACAACAACATGAAAAATGATTTATAAGTTTATACAATTATTAATTTGTAAATGATTATTCGTTTATAATTATAACATTAAACAATTTATATTACAGAAAGAGTGAATTACACTAGTGGTCTGTGTGGTTTGCTCATATTTTGGAAATTGCATCTCTGAAATGAGCTATTTATACTAATGGTCCATAATTTTTCAATTTCATAACACTCAAGACCCCTGGAGTTAATATTGCAGTTAGCAATCGTTAGACGAGACAAATCAGTCTTTGAACAAACTATAGAGACCAAAAATGTAATTCATACTCAAATTAATTGTGATTCACATTTTCTTTTAAGTTACTAATTTTAGATATTTAATTTTTTTTATTAACCTGAATATCCAACTCGCTATGCGAGCCGACTAATCCCAAGACGACCATCTGCTTTGCAGATAACCCAGAGTCACCGCATTTGTACATCCATAGCTACAAGGAGAGTTTTATTCCTCCTTGAATTTGAACTTAGAACCTCAGGATACTTTTGACCTTGGAGTCAATATGAAACCAATCGGTACGAGATGTAATTTTGTCTTATGGAAATAAGGTAAAACTAGAGGAATATCTGAAGATGGTCTTATCATCGTCTTTCTTGAAAAAGAAAGGTGTTGAAACACACACAAAGACACACCCCATAAATCGGCAGGTGCTTTTCGATTTCTATAAATAGCAAAACCAATCTCCCTTCATCAACACTTCCTTTGTTCCTTCTTTCTAAACTTCCCCATATTTTCTTAGAAATTATCCCATCTTGATCCTTTTCTTCTTCATATAAACCCTAAATCTGTTCTTCATTCAGTAACATCATCTACCCACAACTTATTTCATCGCAAAGTAGCCAATTTTCCATATGGGTCACTATAATTTGGTTCTTACATCTCTTCTGTTCTTCATTCTTCAAGGTACATTAATGGAGGTTTGACCTTAGTTTTCTCCCTTTTTCAGCTGTCTTTGTTCTAATGTTTCGCATATTGGAATAGTTCAGAGTTTGATTTTTAATTGAAATCCGATCGAATTTGCCTTATGTTCATATTTCAGGATCAGTTTCAGGTGCCACTTTTACGTTTGTGAACAAGTGCAGCTACACAGTTTGGCCGGGAATTCTCGGAAAACCAGCTCTTGATAGCACGGGATTCGAGCTCGCAAACGGAAACTCGCGTTCATTCCAAGCTCCGGCGGGCTGGTCCGGTCGGTTTTGGGGAAGAACAGGCTGCACCGTCGATGGATCAGGTCACTGGTCATGTGCCACGGCTGATTGTGGTACCGGAGAAATGGAATGCCATGATGCTGGAGCAACCCCGCCGGCCACCTTGGCGGAGTTCACACTGGGATCAGGTTCCACACAGGACTTTTACGATGTCAGCCTCGTCGACGGGTATAATTTACAGATGATCGTGGAGGTGAACGGTGGGTCGGGTAACTGTGTGACGACGGGATGCGTGGATGATTTGAACCGGCGGTGCCCTACTGAGCTGCGGGTTGACGGTGGCGGAGGGTGTCGAAGTGCATGTGATGCGTTTGGGTCGCCGGAGTATTGTTGTAAAGGGGCGTTTGGGACTCCGGAGACGTGTCGGCCGACGGCRTACKCGCAGGTGTTTAAGGCGRCGTGTCCGAGATCWTACAGYTACGCRTACGATGATGCCACGAGTACGTTCACGTGCGCAGGGGCCGATTACATGATCACATTCTGTCCCTCAATCCCAAGGTAGATTTCTACCATCACTTAATTTATCAAATATAATTTATTAAAATAAAGAAATTTACTTTTTAACTATTTTTTTTAATAAAATTCATACATTTTTATTATTTATTATAATATTTATCATGAATTGTTGATTTTCATATATATTTTTTAATTATTCTGTTGATAATTAAACTATTTATTACAGTAACAAAAATGCGAAAGGATTAACGAAGTCTACAGATGGAAGAGTGTCGGGCACGTTAGACGGATTGTTCTCGAATAGTTCATTATATGCCGATCTTGCAGTAGGACGTTCTGATGTCGTTAGCCGTCCTTGTATAAAACTCGTATCTATTTCATTTATTATTTCTCTAATATATATTTTACATAATTTCTGATTTTGTAATTTAATTTTTATTTTAACCTTGGTGTATTTTAGAATTTGGTCAAACTTTGGTTAACAAGGTCAAATATCGTAATTATTTATACAAAAGTAGTTTCTTTATGTGATATTAATGATGGAGGTATAATTTATTGTTTTTAAATTTATTTATTTAATATTCTATATATAGTAAATCTAAGGTTTACATTTTTTTAAGTAGAAAACTCGTAGTCGTATATTACATAATTCAAATAAAAGTAACTCATCGATTAGCTTTAAATAAAACGAAAGATCGTGTGAGAATAGAAGTTAAAGTGAGAAGTGTGAAAAGATTTGATCTCTTGATCATTTTTAATCTCAAACCAAACTATGAATTGCACTCTAAAAATGAATTTATCTGATACTTCTCATTAGTGTTTATCTAATGGAACTCTTCAATTAAAATTGATCAAATGATACAGATATTTCTTACCATCTCACCATAACTCTTATTTTTATGGAAATTCAATTTTTTAATTTGATTCTTATTCTTATTTTCTTGTACTATTTGACTTGTTTCCATCTTGCAAAATGTTTTAAATTGTGTGTGGGGGCGTGACGTGATGATGAGCAGGGCGGACTTATATGGAGTGTTTTGCCCCCCAGTCAAGGTTTAAAAATATACAATCTAGGGGGAAAAAGGTGTTCTCTTTTTATTCTCATGTGATTAGTTTCTCTTAGTGGCCAATCCATTTTAACGAATCCCTCCACTTTTTCATTTGACAATTGTTTTTTCGTACATTAATTGTTTTGTTATCATAAATGTTGGATATAGTCTTCAATAGTTAGAAACTTTGTCTCATATAAAAAGAGGAGTTAATATGAGAGTGGTTTATAAGTCTTATTCTGTTTGGTTTATCAAATAGGAAAATTATACTAAAATGGAATCAACTTTCAAAATCGTCATTTTGGGGAACCAATTTGCATCTGATTCCTATTTTGGGAAACCAACTTTCAAAATCGTTATTTTGGGGAACCAACTTGCAAAATAATTATAGAAAAATAATTAAAATTCCTTTTTTTCCAAAAATTAATGCAATAAAATCTATTTTTCATTTCAAATCTCGTTTTTTTAATTTAGATATCAAATTGAACATTTTTTTAAAAAAAATCCAAATTACCACAATAAAAATTATTTTTTACTAATGCAAAAAAAATCAATTTAATAGAAAAAATTAATTGATGCAATAAAAAATAAATATTAAATATCACATTCAAGATTTTTATATCTAACTAATTGCATCAATTAATTTTTTTCTATTAACTTGATTTTTTTTTGCATTAGTAAAAAATAATTTTTATTGTGGCAATTTGGATTTTTTTTTTTAAATGTTCGATTTGATATCTGAATTTAAAAAAAACGAGATTTGAAATGAAAAATATATTTTATTGCATTAATTTTTGAAAAAAAAAACGAATTTTAATTATTTCTCTATAATTATTTTGCAAGTCGGTTCCCCAAAATAAGCATCAGGTGCAAGTTGGTTCCCTAAAATAGGAATCAGGTGCAAGTTGGTTCCCCAAAATGACGATTTTGAAAGTTGGTTCCCCAAAATAAAAATTAGATGAAAGTTGGTTCCATTTTGGTGCAATTTTCCCTTATCAAATAAGAGGATTTGGTCTTGATTTGGGTTCTCACAAAATCCGGTTTTTATTTATGCACAATGTGGTTCCTTATCCGTGTATGCGGTTTTTTTAGTTTAAAATCTTATCCACTAACAATTTTTCTGTTACCCATAGTCCATGTATATATCTAACATCTTGTTAGAATCGTCACACTACTTTTTTCTTATTTTTTTCTCTTCTTCTTTTCAAACTCCTGCAACAAAATAGATGTTGATGTATGATTTGATGTATCATCATTTAGATTGAGTTAATCCTGGGAATAAATTAGTCATAACCTAACAGCATTTACTGGGGGCTAATATTATTATAAGGATAGCGATCTTAATCACATCCTAATCTGTTTGTTTCAAATTTTCTGCAGTAATTTTCTAACAGTAAGTTATTGCCATTGTATTTAGTTAACTGAACCATTTAACATGCAAACTGAATAATCCAAAACCGTTTTGGTTCAAGTGAATTATTCGGTGTCTGATTTTTTTTATACCGATAGGCCCCCAATCACCTGAGTTTACGGATCTGCCACTATCGATAAGATTAAGCTTCAATCTTTAGAAGTCACAGCAAGGTCACGACATTTTGTCAAAGACCTTCCAGCCTAGTGGTAAAGGCTTGGGCATGGCATAGTCATGAACCCGAGTTCGAGCCCTGGGAGTGGAGTGTTGGCGACATTTAAGTGGGGCCATGTTTAGCCTCCAAATTTGTCGGGGATTAGTCGGGCTTTGGCCCGGACACCCTTACAAAAAAAAGGTCACGACATTTTTCAAGGTGTGACTTAAAAAGATTTTAAAAAATCAAATACTACCTTATGAAACCGCACATCATGCCATGGCATCCCATAAGCCTAACATAAGGTCGACATAAACCGTGAGTCATGGCACCCAACGACGGTTATTACAACAAACATTTTAGAACACTAATCTTACAATTGTATTTGTTTAAAGAAAACAATATTTTTTTAATTTGGTAAAATGCACAAAATAGCAATCTACTTTCATAAATTTCTTTATTATAGCATTGTACTTTCAGTTTTTCTTATTATAGCAATGTACTTTCAAACTATTTTTTATTAGGACATTGTACTTTGAAAAATTTACCCATTATAGCATTGGGTAACCTTTTGATTTAAATTTACCCATTATACTAGGTTTTCATGCCCTCATTGTCCACATAGGTTGTCCACATGTACTATAGTGATGTGACTTTCTTACCACATCATTGTACTTTCAAATTTATTTTATTATAGCATCTACTAGTTCTTATTAAACATTGTATTTTTAATTTTAATATTTAGATATTTTACATGTTATTTAATAAATGTATTAAATGAATTAAAAAAATTCTAAATTATTCATTAATATATCAATATCAATAAAACTAGTAGAACATAATTTATTTCGCTAACATTTTTAAAAAATGTGTTTTTTGAAAAAAAGAAAATAAGAATTGTTCATTTTTTTTACCCAAAAATATTATCATTCAAATAATATATTATATTTGTTCAAAAAAAATTACTTGACGTATAAATATATTAAATTAATTAGACTTTTTTGAATTATTTRTTAATATAACAATATTAAAAAAATATAGATAACAATTTATTTCGTTAATATTTTGAATAAAACTTTAAAAGATATGTATTTATTTGAACAACATAAAATAGGAAATACTTTTTTTACAAACAAAATATATCTCGAAAATAATGTTTCATAATTATTTAATAAATATTTTATTCTAAGAATATTTAATTTGAATGCAACTTAATAAGAAAAAGTAAAAAAAAATGTTTTTTTAGATCATAGCAATGAAAAATGAAAATCACTAATAATAATTTGAAATARGTTTTTATTTTAATTCTAGTTAAGTCATCAAAATGATGTGGCATCCACATCACCTCATTAAAGTCACACAAGTAAAAAAGTCAAAGGGTTAACCGGTTTAAAAGGTAACAGGTTACCGTTGCTATTATGGGTATATTTTTTAAAGTACAATGCCTTAGTACAAAATAATTTGAAAGTACATTGTTGTAATAAAGAAAAACAAAAGTAAAATGCTATAATAAGAAATTTTGTAAAATTAGGTTGTTATTTCATGCATTTAACCTTTTTTTAATTAGACATTTAAATAGGTAATTATATATATCTTCCTTCTTAAAATAAGTGCATCAATATTTACTTTGGGTGTGTTTGGGATTACTTATTTAAAACAACTTATATTTTTTTTGTAAAAGTGTTTATTAACTTATGTGGTATCAAACCGAAGTTTTGTAAAAAATGTTTGGATTAGCTTGTAGCGGTACCAAAAAGTAATAAGCTGATAAGTTGTTTTTAGTGTTTGGCAAATTTTGCTTATATATATAAAATGACCAAAAAAAAAAATAGTCTTCTATATTATTGACTTATGGGAGTGTTTGGATTGCTTATTAATTTATTTGATTTTTTGATAGGTAAAAAAAAATTTCATCATTTATAATAATATCTTTGACAAAAATTTATATCAACAAGATTAATAATTAAAAAACATTAATAAAACAGGGTTAAAATGGTAAACTGGTAATAAGTAGTTTTCATAAGTCATGAAAGATTAACTTATCAAAAACTGCTTATTACCGGTTTGGCACCGGTATAAACAGTTTTATTTTTTCTCATCCAAACACTAGTATTTAACTTATCATTGGTATCAGACTGAAATAAGTTAAAAAACACCTAAGATACACAATCAATCCCAAACACCCTCTTTATGTTGCTTCAAAAAAATATATAACAAGTAAGATTTAAACCCAAATTGTTACATTTTTTGTCCCTTTGTTTTATTGGTTTTGTTACTATTAAAAAATATTTTTATATATTCTTATTCTATGGAGGAATCTATACTATATTATAAAGCATTTGACAAAAAATTTAAAAACCATTTTTATACATGAAGTACTGTTTATTAATACATGTTACTTAAAATTTAAGATTACATGTATAGTGTGCGTAAGTACAACTTATTAAAGTTTCATTTTTAAGTTCGTGTAACTAACTGATATAAAGTTTCACTTCTGATCTAACTCTGATATATCTATCTCTATCGTCATATCTTTTAGATGATGACACACTTATCCTACAACAAATATAACATAGTTTCCTTAATTTTTATGCAGCGTAATAATAATTCTTTTTAATTAGTTTATCAAATATTTCAGTTTATATATATCTTACCAGATTCAATGATTTTTCAAGATAATCCAGAATTTTAACACAACTTGACATCCACTACTTAGATATAAAACTTATGAGGGATGTCATTCAGATGAATTTAAAATAAGAAGAATTAAATGTTTATTATATTAACCAAAAAAATATTATATAGCATTATACAAAATAAAAACGGAGGGCGTATTTGGTTTATGAGATTTAGTAGGATTTGAAAGGATTCGGAATTGAATTCTATTCCAAACATATGATAGGTTTGAAAGAAAAAGTTTGGATTTGAAAATTCTTGGGATTCCAACAAAATCCCACAACCGAAGAATTTAGAAAACCCATAGGATACTTGGTATTTCATGGGACTTCATAAGATTTGGTACCTAAGATGTAAAATTTTAAACATTTAAGTACTCGGGCAACTGTTTGAAACATTAACCAGTTATCATGCTGATGTGATGAGTGATGGGATGAAATTGGATTGAATATCAAATAATATTGAATTGGATATCAGATCACTCGCTTTATCAACATGCTTCATCAACATGGTAACCGGTTGATGCTTCAACCGGTTACGCATGTACTTAAATGTTTAAAACTTCACATCTTAGGTATCAAAATGAAAGTTTTGAAAGTACATTACTTAAAACAAAAATCAGATTAAAACATATTACTTTTTCATGCAATTTGCTCAAAAATAAACAGATCAAAGATTCTCAAAAGATACAAACTCCTCATAAATCAAATTTTGTTAGATATTTATTTTATTTAATACTTTTAAAGCTTTTTACAATTCTTTTCAAGATGAAGACACTCTATAAAAGCCAAAATGTTGCACTTCTATTTGGGTTGTTGACAACCATAATAAGTATATGCACTCATCAATCAAAATGTGTTCAAGGCAATTGGGAATAAGGATTTACAAGTCCCACTTCAAATAGTACAACCCTTCTAAGCATGACTTCATCTCGCCCGTTACCCGGTCGAAACTCATTCTAGATCATTCAATTCCGTACCGTTCTTTTACACACCGTCAACATCTTTGCTTTAGACTAAAAGTGGTCTAAGCACTCCAGTGTCAACTTCATGCCATCAATGATCCTGCAAGCAAAACCGAAGGCCATCGTTGTTACTTAAAGGGGAAATAAAGCCGAAAAGGAAATACAATGTTAATAGTATGCAAATTGAGTGTTGAAAAACTTGTATAATTGGGATACAAATCAATAATGCAAAAGAAAGGAAACCAAGGTTACTTTTAGAAAGCCATCGAAACAAACACGGTCCATATTCGACGGTAGCAAATGATTCCTTAAGCGAAACACGGAAAAAAAACATACCAACTTTTAGCGTAACAACGCATTTAAGTTTTAAGACCAACAATCTTACGTCTTATACAATAGCGTTACAATAAATTATTAGAACGAAGTTGTTGGTGATTTGTATCACTAATATCATTTAAGTGTAATGGGATTAATTTGTTGATCAATGTAATCATGATTAATATCGAACAAGTAAGGAAGGTGCAGAGTGCACACTTGTTTGAGTTTATTTTGATTTAAGGGGCGAAGCCCCTAAACAACGGGGTCCGGGGGCAGCGCCCCCGGTGGCGGGGTCCAAGGGGCGACAGCCCCTGGCTGGGGTCGAGCTAGGTCAGCTTGGAAATTTTTTATTCGGGTAATATTGCTTTGTGAAAAATGCTTCAAAAATTCGAATTTAAAATTTTAAACCCGGTTTAGGGTTCAAAAACTGCCGTTTTTGAATTCATTTTCGAATTGGTCATTTTGATTTTGAAGAGGTACACAGATTCATAACAATCAATTCTTTGTTCGAAAACCACTGATTTTATCCGATTCGATTGTACCATCGAAATACTTCAATCTGAAAGTGTTACACGGCTTTCAGTGGAATCCAAGCAATCGAAAACCCGAATTTCTACAGAAGTTAGGCGACCTAACAAGCTCACAAATTTTGGCAATCTAATAGGACACAGTAAATAAATCGTCTTAATAGTTTTTTTAGATAATACTTTTGAAAAATGTCCTATTTGTCTTTTTTTTATACGACACTTTTCAAAATCGTCCTATAAAAAAAAGACTAATAGAAAAATATTATCTAAAAAGGCTAATAAGATGATTTATTTATTGTCATGTAAGATTGTCTAACTTTTTATACCAACTTCATTCTAACGACTTGTTATAACGTCATTATATATAACTCAGTTACTAGTCTTATTCTATTAAATGCTCTAACAGGTCTAAAACGGCTAGACGTCCTAAAAAACTCATTCTCTTATAGTGACTTATTATTCAGTAAGCGCTTACCAGGTCATTTACCTTACCAGATGAACATGACAAAGGTCAAACATCTCATCTGGTAAGAAATGATGGAGAGTCTTACTTGGTAAGTGAGAGGGACGAAATTTACGGTCTTAACTGCTAAGCGTTTACCGAATAAATTGTTGCATACAAATACCGTTTTGATGGACTACTTAGATAAAGTAGTTTAAAGTATTGAATCTTACCCCTATATTATCTTTTACAATGATGGAAGGTGCATAGGTAAGTGTAATTTGACCAACTTTCCAAACACTTTAGTTTACTTGATCAAAGACCCTTGTTCACATTTAATAATGGTATTCATTGTGAATAAACGCGTATTCATTTATTCATTTCAAACTAAAAGTCTTTACAAAGTATTCTGCAAATTGAAGATAAGGCATCTACTTGCATGCCAAAAGTTTCTGGGCACTGGGGATATAAAGAATGCAATCTCTAACCTCTTTTGCTCATCAACAACTATGCCTTCAGGGCTCCTTTCTAATTCATACTTAATACAAACATACAAGAGTGCCAAGATTTCTTGATCCCGCCCAAATACGTAAACGAACGTGCCCGTGCCCAATGCCTGTGCTTGTGTGCCAATGGCTATGGCTATCAAGATTAGACTACGATTAACAAAATGGTGTTCTAATCAGCATGTTTAAAGTGTAATTTTTGAAGTGTAAATAATTATAAACTTGGTTTCAGTGGAAATACACAAAAAAGGTAAGCTTATGAACACCCTAATAATCATCCATTTGTTAAGTATGCAAATTTGCATAAAATTTTATGCAAAAAAACAAATGGTTATTAGGGTGTTCGTTAGTTTTTCATTTTTTGTAGTTTTTCCCTGAACCCAACCCTTATAATCATATACTGCAAAACTCATACACACCTCTCACCTTTATTAAGGCTAGAACCCGTGACCTCCAGACAACCGGGATAGGATATTGCTTGGCCAATGACCCTTTGGTAACTTTAAATTATGGCCAACAAAAGGTAGTGGTGATCCTGCTGCTAGTTATGGGTTTTTTACTGATGCAAACTGGGTAAGCACTTATTGGGTAAGAGTCACCACACTCACTTACCCGGTAAAAGTTACCACCGTCACTTACTAGGTAAAATTATTGTTATTGGTCAGCAAAATGGTACAGTAAGATTGTTGGTAAAGACCATCATCTCTGACCGAGTAAGTGAAGAATAGTAAAAAGTCCGTTAGGCCAAGAATGATCACTGTCATGAAGTCCTGCTGATGCCTGCAAACCTTTGTGTCATCGATCTCATCTGTTATGGGTCGAAAATGACTCTTTTCCATCCACTAGGAATTCAGCCAATCAGTGACGTGATTTGGGACTGAAAGATATGGCTTCCGAGCTCTCTTTTCTCTTTAACAACCATTTAAAAGTTGTGCAAAATGCCTTTGTGGAATCGATTAAAGAAAGTCCTGCAAAATGACAAGCAAAGTCAAGATTATTTAAGAAAAAGAAAAGCAAAATACAGAAGAAAATAAAGTTGCAAAAAGCATGTTGATGACCATTTGTAAGAATACTCCTATGTGACGGAAAGGAAAACGATGTGTAGAAAGACTTCTTCAACGCTTGCAAATGGGAGGAACGTTAGTGCACCAAGGTCGACCTTTTCCCCTTTTTAACAACTAGCAAAACGCTCGATATCTAGACATTTCCAGCTCATTAAAGATTGAATACATCACAAACTTTACTTATGATAAGCACCATTAAAGTAGAGCAAAGATATATACCAAGTCAAATCAAACAAGTACAGTATATCATACCTGGAGGTGGGGTCTAGGGAGGATAAGATGTAGGCAGACCTGACTTTTACCACAGAGAGTAGAGCGATTGTTTGTATCACACTTGGAGGTGGAGTCGAGAGAGAGTAAGATATATGCAGACCTAACATTTACCTTAAAAAATAGAGCGATTGTTTTCATGAAGACCTTCGACTTGTAAAAGGGATCTATCACTTCCGTATTTCATTAGATAAACCTGATTGTATTCACACATGAATACACCTAAATAAGGGTGAAAGCCCATAGAAAGTTTCTTTGGGGCATTTCATCGAACAGGTTCAGGGATACCTCTTACATCCTCGAGTACAACCTCCATTCACCATCTTAATTCATTTGAAACCATTGTTGGGCACTTTATTTTTTCATAAAAAATCATGGGCATCAACTACATTTTCTTGTGAATTCGGTTTGCAACGATTGTTTATAGAAAATGGTCACGACGAATAGCTACGGTTTAATACTACTAGAAAAAGAAATCGATCCATATTTATGTCTACAAGTACGATACATAAAACGTGAAATTCAGACGGGTTTACGAATTTATAAAACGAATTTATAACATACCTAAATATCACTTTGCACATAAATCACAATTCGATTTCCATTTCCCAACAAAAAAAGATACATTTCAAGAATGAAAAGCAACACGAATATATCTACAAATCTATACACCTTGAGCGGATACTGTTGAAGTCCCACATCAGCTAGACACCAACCATCAAACCTGAATATATATGTAGAAAGTTTCCCTGTTCTTTTACAGAGAAAGATTCAAAAGTGGCTTCACATATCGTCACAGAAATCGTACAGATCAAATAATTGGGCATCCATCGACCACAATCCCTTCGGCAACAGGACAAGAAGCCAAAGAACAACCATCAGGTTTACTTCCCCACCAATCTAAGCTAACTTGCTCCATATCCAAACTAACATACAGCAACACTCCCATAAACGCCAATCCCGCATCTAACGCCCCCGATAACACATAATTATGTCGGCCCCACCAGTTATGATGATACCGATATGCCACAAATCCCGACAAAAACCCGATAATGATCCAACTGTTATAGTTTACAGAAGTTGCAGGGGGCATATTGATCGTTGCACCTAACAAAACCGGTGTTGTGATGAGTGTAATCCAGTTTTGGCTCGGAAAAGCCTTGTGTAAAAGCCAAACCAGAATAGGAGCCAATGCACCGGCTAAAAAGAACCAGTTTATCGAGTTGTAGTAGCCGAGATCACCAAAGATCCGGCGGGGCCCAATTAGACCCCATATGACCGATGCATCGTAGAAAACATGGTCACCCGGGCAGGTCCATGGACTGCCCGGAGGAAGCATGGCTCGATCACATAGGTTTGGAACTGTGTCCATTAGCCACCATGCGGTTCCTAAGTGCACCAATGCTGATATAAGTGTACCGCATACCTGATCGAAAAAAGGGGCAATTATGAGGATTGGATAAAATAACAGATCTTTGATATCATATATCCTCTATCTGGCCATGGCAGGATGGGTAGTGGAAAGTGTTGACTTATGTTGACCGTGTAAGCGAGAAGAAACTGACCTGAGCCATGAACATGGATCGTGGGGGGATCTTCATGTAATGCCCGAGTTTGAAGTCTTGTAAAAAGGCGATACCTTGTTTCACGCTAATGTATCCGTAAACCTTAAAACACATGTTTGCCACAGGGTATCCCGGATACAAATATCCTATGATGTATTCCGTTATCACATTTAAGCCCGGTGTCTGTTTGATGAACAAAATACCCATGTTAGAGCTCATAACATCAATAATTTACTCTACCTAGAACTAAAGATATATGATCGATTACTGTTGGTCGATAAACTAGTCATGTTTGGTAAAAACTAACCGATAAGCAAGATAACAATGTAAAATGACCTAAAAGGACATGTTAAAATAATTGATCGGAAAATATAGGGGCATAATTGGAAATAAATGGAAAAAGAACACCTGAGCTTATTGAAACGCTACTTAACGTAGTTTTTCAAAACGCCAGCTTAAACTAACTTATGGCTAACAAAACGGGACTTTTTGAATGAGCTCAAAAAATAAGTTGGCTTATGGTTGTCAATAAGGTTGTTAATGATTCGAGATTTTAACAAGCTACTCGAGCTCGTTTATCTCGAGCTCAAACTTAATAGTTGTCGATCTCGAACACACACTAAAACTTATTTAACTTAACGAGTCGAGATCCATAACGCCAACGTTCGACTCGGTTTGTTCGAAGAATAGATTAAATTTTTCGAACCGAGCCATTCGAGCATACACTTTTTCGAGTCAAACATGTTCTAATGTTCATAAATCATATAATCAAAAGTATAAAAATTATCGAGGTCGAGCCAATAGGCAAGTTAATCAACCTCAAGTTCGAGCTCAAACATTGGAAAAGTATTAGAGCTCGAGCTCAAACCCTATTGTTAAAAAGTTATTCGAACTCGAGCCTCGTAATATTTTCTCAAGCCTACCTCGAATACCTGCAACTCGACTCGACTCAGCTCGTTAACACCCCTAATTGCCAAACATGGTCTTACTACAGACCCGTGTTATAGTTCAGAACATCATTAATTTATTCTGGTACAGAATCGAAGATACCTGGTTTGTTGTGGCAGTGATGACACCAATGGGAAGCATGAAAAAGAACGCGAGTCCACACGCCAACAAGAACGCCCACCACGGTAATTGAAGTTGACTTTTATAGTATTCACATACGAATAACGTTGCTACAATGTTCGTCAATAGAATACAAGTGAACCACCACTCAGGTACTTGCTTGTATCGTCTCATAAGTTTACTATGCACATCCATTTTCTTTTCTTGAAATGCCGACTTGCTTAGCTGCCATAAATCTCTAAAACCATACAATATTTCACGTAAATCATCATGTAGACTCGAAAAAGATTAAAAACGAAAGAAGAAAAATAGACTCGAACCTTCCATGGAAGACGAACACATGAACCACAGTAGCAGTTAGGCACGCGAAACTAACTGCATAAGTCATGGCGAAGAAGATGCTGAGATAAATTTGACCTTCTTGATCGTAAGCATCTGAGTCAAAGTGGAAATTCGAGTCAACGATGGCGGAGGTGTTGTATGATTGGCCGTTGGCGGTGAAGAGATCATCGGAGAAAATTGGGAACCTTTTGGCTTCATAAACATTGAACCAGTATGCTAAAGGGGTTATGATATATGTAACTAGAGCATAGCCAACGGCTATGTTGACCGTGGCAAACCATGGGCTAGCCAGGGGGCTGCCGAGATAGGAGGATATGCTGGACCAGTCGAACCCAATGGCACCAACGCCAAGGCCGTGGAGGCCTGAGCCGATTTGTTGGGCTAGGACCGATTTAGGAAAGATCCAACATAACCAAGAGAGGGAGGTAAGCATCGGAAAAAGGTATCCGGGGAGGACATAGTAAGCAAAACTGCAAATGAAGGCAATGAGGAAGAACTCGTTACGTGTTAAACCGCCCTTGGGCCTCTCCTCTTTCTCGTGTAACACCCTGCAAATCAACACAATGCGGTCCATGGGTAAATCTAGGCTTCTGAAATTCATTAAAAAAACATACATACCCGATATAGCCCACCTAAAGTAGGGTCTCTGGAGTAAGATGTATGCAAACCCAGTCTCTCTCTCACGAGACATAAAGGCTTCTACAACTCATCTACCCAATAATATATCCCACCCGAATATCGGGTATGGGGGTTAAGATGTAGAAAGACTTTGCACGTAGCCCAGAGTCATTGCATTTGAACCTCCGTGGCCACAAGGGGATTTTCGTTCCTCCTTGGATTTGAACCTGGGACCCGGCACTTTTGACCTTTGGAGTCAAGCTCAAACCAATCAGGCATGCGTACCCCACCATTGTGGTTCAGGATTGTGTTTATTACTAATAGTGGCAAATTGATTAGATAGCTAGGGTTTAAAGTATGAATACGTCTAAGTTCAAGATTCTAGTTAAGCATATTGGGGATCCATTTTTCTGGAATCTGTAAAAAGGATGTGCTGATAATTGAATAAGGGTTTTCTTTTTGCAGGTACCTGAAGAGGGAAACTTGAACAAGATTCTGGGGCCACCACATGGCGGCGGGCTCCACCAGGTATCGCCGGAAAATCCCCGCCCACCCGAACCCTAATACCTGCGTCGTCACCACCACAATCAACGCCACCCAAAAAGTCAACGTCTTCCCGTAAAATATCTTCACAGCGCTCACAATATGAATCGCGTATGGATTTCCGGCGCCGGAGTTGGCGAAGATCGTAATCAACACATGCTCTTTCACATTAAACGGTCCAGGGTTGAGCGTGAATTCATAATTTCTCCCCCTGAAGAAAACCCTGTCCGTGATGGTCGCCGCCATGAGATGGCCAAGAGGAACGACGGCGATCTGAGCTGAGATGGAGGTTATCGATAAAGGCTCACGGCGGTACCAGAAAAACTGGTTTAGAAAAGATAGAAACACACAGGCGACTGTGCCAAGTATCCACATTCTGAAGGTAACCACCGGTAAACTCGGATCGTCCGTCACCGGAACCGTGAGTGCAACTTGCTCTATCGGAGAATTCTCCTCCGGCGCGTGGGAGGTGGATCCATCGAATTGGGTCTTCTTCTGAACTGCACATTTACAAATTAATTTGGGGGAAAATCAATAAAATCGGCAGAATTGAACATTGAACATCTGGGTTTGATGAAATTGAGTTTAATTTTGACTGAAAATCGCTTACGAAGTGGAGATGAGATTTCATCATCGTGTTCTTCAAAATCTTCCATCTTCTACTAGTCGAGTGCATGTGGGAGTATCTGATCTTTAATGAACGGGATAACTTTGACTTGGATGAATCTGAGAATCTTGTTTGTGACCGTCCGATTATTGAAGTGGGTCTCGTTTTCAATGGTTGAAGTCATCGCTGACGGATTTGTAAATTGCGAAGGGGTTAGGTGATTGGTGATACATTTTCCGTTTATAATATTAGGGTTCATATAACGAATTGTACGAGGTAGATGTTCGAGACCGGATACATTAACCGTTATTCTGTAAATTGCAAAAACCATCCCTACTATTTCACATAGTTATTTCGCTTGGGAGGACCTACACCAAATTTTTATATAACCATGGAGACGATATTTGGAATTTACTATGAAGTTTTATGTTTCTACTTTTATTTATCGTGATCACTTTTAAAGTAAGTGTTTACCTTTTTAGTTTTACTTTTAGTTACAAGATGGAAAAACAATTATTATTATTTTGATTAACATAGATATTTAATCCGCTATGCAAACCGACTAATCCCAGGACGACCGTCTGCTTTGTAGATAGCCTAAAGTCAACGCATTTGAACCTTCGTGGCTACAAGAGAATTTTTATTTCTCCTTGGATTTGAACCTGGGTCCTCCTGATACTTTTGACCTTTGGAGTCAAACTCAAACCAATCAGGCATCACCCTTGTGGTTGAAAACAATATATATATATATATATATATATATATTATGGATATTTATATTAAGACAATAAAATAATTTATAACATTAAAGAAAGATAAAATATAAGTTTGATATCATCATATATAAAATATAAAAAAGTGAATACATTGAAGGTCCCCGTAGGTTTTTAGAATATTCAAATTCAAATTCACTCAATATAAAATTAATAAGAGGTTTATTTATTTATTTATTTATTTATTTATTACTTCTATTAATTTGTTATCAAATATTTGACTAAACAAATCTATGGGTTTTAAGTTTGTTTGGACAAAAAATTGATTACCAATAATTTTGATTGGTCTTGTATGAAACCCGCCTTGAAAGAAATGAGTATGATGAGGTAATTCTTTTACTCACTTAGCGGATGAGGCTAACCGAGGAGGACCACACATGGAATTTCTCTTGTATTTGGACAAAATAATCACATTTTTTTATGAGTTAAGTTACATGCCAAAAGATTTGAAGTTTATTGTCACATGTTGAGTATTGGAATAAAAAAACTATTGAACTTCAAAAATCATTACCAATAGGAATTGATTTTTTTTTTTTACGTAAAGTCATTATACCTTTAAATTTTGATTTTCTTTTTGATAATTTCGGTCAGAAATGTATTAGATTGAAGCTTTTTGAGTTTGTGCCCTGACTTTTTAACCCTGTTCAATAAGCAAAAAAAAAGGATTTGAGTCAGTTTTTGGACGTAGAAATAGACCCGATTCAATCATAGAGACCACAATTTCGTCAAACATTGTTTTTCTAACTCTAAATATCTATTTCAACATATCTTAATATATATATATATATATATATATAAATCAATAGACTTTAGTGTTTAGAATGATTAAGTTCTTGGATAATTTTTTGGAACAAATAAGTCCATGGACATTTCAAAACATGTTAATAACTCCTTGGACTTTTTAAAACATGTTAAATACATTCATATGACTTATAAAACTGATTAATGTTGTAAAATAATGGAAAAAATCTGGAAAAAAAAAACCAATGAATTTTCATATTTTGAGCGATTATATCCCTATACATTTTTTGAACCAAAAAAGTACTTACATTTAAAAAAGATTATTAATTAAATTTATTTTAATTTGTCAGTGCTTTTTTAAATGAAAAAAGATTTAAAAATAATTACCGATAAAATTTATTTTAATTAAAAATAAAATATATGATTACTGATGATATTTATTTTAGTTAAAATTAAAAATACTATTTTTTTATAATCTTCTTTTAATTTGAAAGTCACATATGGGGATAGTTTTTATTTTTTAATTAAAATAAATTTGATCAATAATTTTTTTAAATTTTTTTTTATTTTTTTTAGTTTGAAAAATTACTGACAAAATATATTTTATTTTTAATTAAAATAAATTTATTAAAAATCTTTTTTAAATATAAGTATTTTATTTGTAAATGTAAGTATTTTTTTGATATATTTGTTTCATTTTATAGATCTAAGTACTATTTTGATTCAAAAAAATGCTTAGAAACTTAATCATTCAAAATATGAATGTCCATCGACTTTTTTTCAGACTTTTTCCATTATTTTACCACATTAACCAGTTGTATAGGTCATAAGAATGTATCTAACAAGTTTTAGAAAGTCCAATGAGTTATTTAACATGTTTTGCAATGTCCAAAGACTTATTTGTTCCAAAAAAATTGTCCAATAACTTAATCCTTCCAAACACTAAAGTTCATTGAGTTTTCTAGATTTTTCCCAAAAAATATCTCCTGTCGTATTTTTAAAGTTAATTTACTACCATTATAAACAACTTTAAACCATAAAAACATAAAATCAAATTGATTTTCTTTTCACTTCTTTATCTTTATTTTTTGTTTTTTTAGTTCTTTCAATTCTTCCGATCTTGATTCTTCTTCGACTTTGCTCATGCTTTATACAAGATTTTTCGTGCTTTGATCAGGTTTTATCCAGACTTTTTAGGTTCTGACTGGCCAGACTTGCGACTCACAATCGAGCTTTATCTCGAGCTAGGTATTAACCGGTCATTAAAAAAACTTGACCTAATTAGGCTCTTTTGCCAAAGATGGGCCTATGCTCGGTGCTAGGACCAAGTTTTTCAGGCCGAGATTTGGTCCAGACTTTTTTTTTTGCATCCCTAGTTTCTACCAAAAAAACGTAACATGTTAACAAAATCAATGGTTTCTAAAACAGTTTAAATTTTTGATAATTTTTATAACAAATTTAATTAATTTCAGTTATGAATTTTTAATTAAGAATAAAATCATATTTTTTGAAGCAAAAGTGTTAACATGTGGATTAAAATTCTATAAAAAAGAGGTCATAATAATAAAACAAATATGTGTTTGGTGGGATGCATATGTTTGCATATCATATCATTAATTAATAGAAACATGTGATGCTCAATAAGGGGTGTTTTTGTCTTTTTATCAATTTTTTTGTTTTTTATCCATTCAAAAACCACAAAGAACAAAATTATAAAATCAATTTTAATTGGATAAAAGGAAAAAAAAATTAATGAAAAAGCCTTCATTTAACGGAATTTTTTAACAACCGTTAAAAAGAGGGACTAAATCGGATGTTTTTGTAAACCACAATGACCATCTTATAATTTCGAAACTACACGAAATGTTTTATTTTTGACAAACCATATGGACCAAATTTATAGTTTACTCTATTATATAAGATTCAAAATTATTTAAATTTATAGGCTTTTATAAATAAATGGTTTAAGAAAAATATATGATTTATGATTTCGATTTTATAATCAAGAAACATGATTGATACCTGAAACCATCCACTACAGTCTACAATAATTTCTAACATGGTTTTTTTTACGTGATATTAAGACAAAATCGATGTTGTGACGCTATAAACATGGTGCTTAATAAGTTGTACTTACGCACAATTTACTTGTAATGTTGAAATCTAAGTAATATTCATCGATAAGTAGTACTTCGTGTTAAGTGAAAGAGTCCAGCTTCTCAATAACATGAATTATGACGAGTCCAAATTAGTTATAGATTATAAGTGAAAGAGTCTCCCAATTTGTTTCAAATTAGTGCTTGTTATCTTGTACCAACTTATGAGAAATTCGTTACATGGTATCAGACGACCTTAGTAACGGTTAAAATCTATCCTCTTTTTTCAATCCGCCACCATCACTGGCCGTTGCTGGCCTATACAGCTCTTCTCCTCCGGAGTATTAGTTGTCACATCCTTTTCCTCTAATTTTTCTGCACCCACCCTTCGCATTTCCATCGTCTTTCTGGAATTCTTGATTTCACCGGCAACAATGGTGACCACCGATGACAACAGCAGTTCTAACGATGCATGTTTGCCTTCGCCACTCTCCTCCATCTCATGACCATCAAATCGTCTTCCTCAAATTACCTTCTATGGCGAAATTAGATCCTTCCCATCTTAGAATCCCAAAACTATATGCGATTTCTTGATGGCTCATCACCACCATCATCAGTGCCATTGATCAGCAATTAAAGATGCTTCTAATTCTTCTTTATCTAAGGAGGCCATGGCAGTGGTAGTTGGCACTACTACGGCCAAAGACACATGGAAGGCTCTTGAGGCTATGTTGAGCCATTATTTCGAGACCCGAGAGTTGAGTTTACGTACCGATCTTCAAAATCTTGCAAAAGGATCGGCACATGTTCACGATTATGCACGAAATTTCAAAAAGATATATGATCAGTTAGAGAAATTCTTTACAAATTATATATAATGGAAATTTGTAAAACTATAATATATTATTTTGACCATGCATGTAATTTAAGAAAAAGAGTAGGATGAACTCACAAATAGGTTTTTAGGATAAACCCTAAAAACCAAGTCAACAATGCCGAGAAGAAGAGGAGGGAGATCTTGAAGCTTTTACCACCACATTTGAATCTTTATCACTTAATGATATTATATGCCTTCAAAAATCATCAAAATATGGCTTTTAAGGGTTTAGGATCGGAGTAAATGAGGAGAGAATGAAAGGGGATGAGGATTGAGAGAATAAATTATTCGACCTATCCAAAACGCGTTTATTTACTCACTGAGGGATCATGCGACCATAGGGTCACAGACAAGGGTCACCTGCATTCAAAACTCGATCCGACGATACGATAAATGTGATAGTGGCTCGCGGTGCAAATGTCGCGATCACCAGGGTCGCCCAATCCTAAAAACTCTTACTTATGGTTCCTCAGATGCGACGGTGGTCTGCAGTGCAAGGTTGATGACCACTAGGGTCGCACCTTTCACCTGGAAGAATGAAATGACCCATTCACAAACCCTCAACAAGGCCTAACTTGCACGACTCCTTTCAAACACCAAGATTTGACGCTTAAACACAAATAAAACATACTACTTTATTAAATCATGATTAAACACCAAAAATAAATATTCTAAAACTCTGGGTGTTACAATTAAAAACTACTCTGAAAATTGTCTTGAATGTAAAAATATAAAATTTATTTATTGAATAAAAAATATTCTATAAATTAAAATAAACTATTTCATTCAATTAAATTTATTTTACTTCATCATAATTATTTAATTAATAAATTATTTGGTATTATAGCAAATGATATTTAATTTTCACTTGTGAAATTGTATAAAAATCATTACAGTTATCTTAGTATTGTAGTGGATGGAGGCTTTCCCCATGTAAGATCTTGATATCGTCTATCAGTAATTGCAACTAATTCAGATTAATTGGATGTTTTTCAACTGTTATTAGATTAACTAACGATTCAGTTTTTATTTGTAGACACTACATCTTGGTCGGGATATTTGGACCATTTTTAGTAACTGTCTTTTTGTACTTGTTTCTCAGATGCATTCAATGTCGTGAACGTTCTTTTAGAAGATACTTGTTGCAACTATTAAATGAAGTTGGACCAAAAATACATTAAAATTCAACCAAGTTTGCTTTAATTCTTATTTAGTGTAACAATGGAACTGTATTCTCAAATAATGTAACAGATATTTAGTTATCTTATCTATAGCCATTTTGATCGACAAACTGATAGATCTTGTAATTATTGATGACATGGATGTTAAGTTATATTGTAAATATTAATTATAAATAAACACTAATTGAAAATTATTAATTAATTTTAATTTATAAATAATATATTAAAATTTATTCTTAATTATTTACAATAATTATTAATCGTAT